TTTAAACTTTCTAACAATCAAAAATTTAGTGATTGCTGACAATTTAAAGAATTACTTCCTTTTAAATGTAGTTACATTGAGTTTTTCGATTAACCTTGGGTAAACCTTTGCGTTTTAAGTTCAAAGCTACCATACATTTCCAACGGTAAAAAAAACTTTTTTTGTACATAATAACAAAAAACACCACTATGTTGTTACTAGCTAAGTTTTTTAACATCCTAACTCAACAATTCTAAGTTACGGTAAGATCAATAATGTTTTTTAATAGATAATATATGGTAGCTAATTATAATTTATTCTCTTTCAGCCCTAAAGAAGCCAAATTAATTCTCTTTGGCGAAAACGTTCGGCGAAACAATTGATACTCATTAGAGTCTTTCTTGCAGATTTCCCCAATATTTAAGAGTTAACTATTTAATTTCTCTGCAAAGATTAAATTTCTTTTCTTATATATATATATATATATATATATATATATATATATTATATATATATATATAATATCGGAAAAAGGAGTACGACCGTCAATCCAATATATATATATATATATATATATATATATATATATATATATATATAATATATATATATATATATATATATATAATATATATATATATAAGGATCACTCAGACGAGTGGTGGGTTCTTATATCGGTCTCTAGGTGGAGAAATAAAAGACAAAGTTGATAGGCTACTTTATCTATTTTGAAGACGTTTCGTTTTCGAGTTTTGAAAGCATCATCAGTTCATCTAAAAAATTATTACAATATGAGAACCACACAATCATGGAAACGATGTTAATTGTTACCTTAAAAAGATATGTAGCAGTCAATGTTATTAACAAACATGTGAATGAAACTAAGTAAATGGACATAATACGCTGATCTTGTATAAACAGTTAAGCAACTAACAACATATATGAACTTGTAAAAAATTAGCACAGCAAATGACCATGTGGTCTAAAGTAAATTCAATGTTATTAACATTAAATAACATTGAATTTACTTTAGACCACATGGTCATTTGCTGTGCTAATTTTTTACAAGTTCATATATGTTGTTAGTTACTTAACTGTTTATACAAGATCAGCGTATTATGTCCATTTACTTAGTTTCATTCACATGTTTGTTAATAACATTGACTGCTACATATCTTTTTAAGGTAACAATTAACATCGTTTCCATGATTGTGTGGTTCTCATATTGTAATAATTTTTTAGATGAACTGATGATGCTTTCAAAACTCGAAAGCGAAACGTCTTCAAAATAGATAAAGTAGCCTATCAACTTTGTCTTTTATTTCTCCACCTAGAGACCGATATAAGAACCCACCACTCGTCTGAGTGATCCTTATATATATATATATATATATATATATATATATATATATATATATATATGCGTACCTCAGAGGTAAAGGACACTATGTCATTTTTATCGAAATTTAGATTATTGCACTTTTGAATATAACTTTTCTGGCTCTACACATAGGTAAACCATACTATGTCCAGAGACAATTTTACGGCAAGTTACCGACTTTTTAATAAACACCAAGTCCACTTCCAGTCAGAGGTAAACAACACCATGTGGACTTGGTGTTGTTTACCTCTAGTAAATGTGTGCATTGTCATTTACCATCCGGACATAGTGTTATGTACCCTTGTACCTGAGGGAATTGTCATGAACTAAAATCATTGCAACCTTTTTATTTAGATCGCAATTGTATTAGGTTGATAAAAGTTGTACAATAAGTTCGTTGTTTAATAATTGTAAAATGGATCCGAACTCTCGTGGAAAAATAATATTACAATTACTGTCATGTAATATTCCAAATAAAACAACACTTACAGGTAAGTTATTGTTTTTTAACACTGATTTTGTATTTTTCTAATCTCAAATATTTAGTATTGTATATTATTTTGTATAGGGCTCAGAATTTCAAACTGTACATACATTTTATCTATCTACCGTTAAAATAGAAGTATCAGTTAGTATGTTCTTGTTACTATAAAGTAAAAAATTTCGTCTGTTTTTTTAAATGACCATAATATGGTATGATTGTTGTCAGTTATTTATGTAACATGCATTGCCATTTATGTTATTGTGTTGTAGGCATAGACAGGAATTTACCAAGCAATTATCAATATATACTCGTATGAACAAAATACTACAAGAGATTGGGTAAAATTTATTTACTGTTAGGCGTAACCGGTACCCCAAAAATTATTGTTGTTGTTGATACCAACAGATTAGGGTAAACAGATGTTGCCAGATCTATATTTTTTTAATGGAAGTAATGGAAATTGCTCAGTAAATTCCGGTCTTTGGTTATAAGGATTATTTTTGTGTTGGTCAATTATAGGGTCATGTAGGTTGGTCACTCTATAATTATTATTACAAGGCTGGATTTGTTTCAGAACCACCTGGTCACTACAGTAACTTCCAAGGTAATGGTAAGGAAGTGGACGAAGATGATAATTTGTTTGGAGATGATAATTCGGATATTGATATAACCTATGAGCCTCTAAGCTCAGAATCAGACGACAATGATATGAGACGTATAAGTAAACCAGCGAAAACAAAGGTCAAAGAGGAAGCTATTATTACTCCTACGACCAGTGTGGCAATAACAAAAAATCTTCTTAAGGACGATTTATTCCTAAGCAGTGATGCAGGCAATTCCAATGAACATAATGAAGTTATTTTAGAAGAAGAGAAAAGTGTTAAAAGAAAGGTACAAAATGTAACTAAGTGCAAACAAAAGGCCAAAAAACGTGTAGTAAATGAACAAAATTAGGTCTGTAATGTTCGCAAATCAAAAATAGCTGGTGGGAAAGAGTATCTCAGTAAAAAAGGCAAAAACATGCCTGCAAAAATGTTAAAGCTTCCTTGCATGTGTCGCATGAAATGCTCTAAAAGATTGCCAGAATACGAAAGACAAAAAATTTTCAACTCATACTGGACTGAGACAAACGTTTCAGATGTTAAAAAGCAATTTATCTTCTCATGTTTCGACATCCAACCTACTCTTTGATTAACAAAAAAAGACCTAAATTCTACCAAATCTAAAAATAATACACTACACTACCATTTTACAGTGAACAATCAGCGATTGAGGGTGTGCAAGGTTATTTTTTCAAACACACTTTGTATATCTAATTTAGTAGTAGTAAATATGTTGAAAAAAATTGAGCCAGGAGGTTTAATAAAAGCTGATCAAAGAGGTAGACACACGCTAATCAATAAATCTCCTACCGAAACCATGAAATAGTATACATCAACATATTAAATCATTCCCAAAGTGCGAGATTCATTATTCCAGAGAAAGGAGTAAGAAAGATTATCTTGGCACAGAACTTACGATAGAAAAGTTGTATCAACTGTACTTTGATGAATGCAATGAAAGACATGTAGATCCAAAGCTCAGAGTAAAAAAGTAATGCGACGCAGATATTTTTAATAAAGATTTCCAAGTTTTCGTTTGAAAACTTGGAAACCCGAAATAGACACTTGCGATACATGCAGTACATTCACAGCTCAATTGAAAAATAATCTTACTGCAGATGAGCTAACCAGTGTACAGGCTAATCATGATACTCACCTAATTGAATTTTAAACTCGGTATAACTTATAACAATTGGACTTTTTATTGGCTAAAGAGTCACCAAAACACAAAGTACTATCTTGTGATTTATAAAAATGTTTGCTTTCACCACTAACAAACAATTGTATTAGTTTCTACAAAAGGAACCTTTTGTAGAAGCAGTGATTCTTCTGTACAATGTATGATGTGGGACGAATCGAAAGGGTTCCGAGGTGCAAATGAAATTGCCTCGTGAATTTTGAAATGGACTGACAATACAATTCCAGGTAGTCAAGTAAAGGACATCACTTTTTGGACCGATAACTGCTATGGACAAAATAAAAATATAAGTGTTATAATGTGCTATTTTTGGATACTGCGTATATAACCTCAACTAAAGACGATCACTCAAAAGTTTTTACTGAAAGGGCACACACATATGGAAGCAGACAGTGTTTATGCTTTAATCAAGAGAAACAAAAAGAAACTCTCCAATTTGGTCATTTTAACACCATGGAACTGGCAACAGCTAGTTAGGCAAACATCAGGTAAATACACAGTGCACAATATGGAACTTGCAGATTTTAAAAACTTCAAAACGCTGTTCGATAAGAAATTGTCACTTAATCATCCTTTTGTAAGTAGAAAAAAGAATGTTAATGAAGATCCTGTTCTACTGTCAACATATGTTGACTGCTACAAGTCCAACAAGAACACATTGGGAAGCTCTTTTATAAGACCGATTTCAATAATCAAAATATGTATGAAGTGGACTTCATGAGGTATCGAAGACAGCAAGTAACGTTTCCAGCTCAATTAAATCAAGTCTCAGTAAACCCATTACCAATCAGAAAACAAAAGTTTAATGACTTCATTACCTTACTGCCTTTTTCCGTGAGTTTGTCCTGCACTTTATCAAAATTTAACACATAGCGATGTAGCCACAAACGATTACCCACAAGAAGATGAAGATGATATGGAGCCTCTTTAACAATTTTGAAAATTGTCGTCTATAATTTTACTTTATTTAACTTTTCTTAATTTAATTATTATATATATTATAATATTTACCTCTAATAAAATAACAGTATAGGCTGTTTAGTGTATTTGTATTGTTTATTTCGTAGAGACCTTAACATGCAATGTCACATTATTTAAAAAAGTTATTAGAGGTAAACAACACTATGTCCAACTACACATTAAAAAAAAATATAAAATGAACGGTAAACTTTAGGTACATAACACTTCATGTTAATGACGTTATAACTGCTCTCCTGAAAAAGTCAGAAAATGGACATAGTGTCCTTTACCTCCGAGGTACGGATATATATATATATATATATATATATATATATATATATATATATTATATATATATATATATATATATACATAAAATAATATGATAATTTTAAGGTTACATCTGCAGAAAATAATATGGCAAATCCACGACAATTTCTGACACCTTTTGGTGTTTTAAATGTTGGAATGGCTATTGTGGTAGTTATATACAGTTTTTTTGCTGCATCCGGATATTGGAAATATGGTGAAGATATTAAGTCCAGTATAACTTTAAATTTTCCTTCATCTGATGCGTAAGTATATATTTACAATTTTACAATTTTGTTTACTTTGATACTTTCTAAAAACTTTTTTTATTTTATTATCAATTTGCCGTGATAATAATATAAAAATACACAAAAATGGAAAAACATATGGCCAGAAGAAATATTTAACTAATATAAAAAATTAAAATAATCATTATCAAAAAGATAAATGCTATAATTTAAGAAATACTGAAAAACTAATAAGGAGTTAGTCTGAAATACAAAGAAGTAGAGTATATAAATGAACTGAAATTCTACAGTAAGTTGGGAATAACGTAAATTGACCTAGAAGGTAATAACTAATATATTAGATGGCACAGTCTGAACAACTATAATTTCTAAATAATAATTTAATTGATTAAGGAACTGAATCAAGGAAGCCATCTGGAAGAATGAAATAAACTAATTCAAGATGACACATTATAATAATGAAACATAATTTAAAAAATTAAATTAGTAATCTCAAGGAGATTATAAATACTTGTCGTACGGTTGGATCATCCTCCATGGTATCTTGAGTTTCTGCATAATTACCAGCCGCCGCTCGAGAAAATGAACGAAGCCTCTTCTGTTCTCTTCTTATTGTTTAAGAAAAAATGCTGCTTTGTTTAACACCAACGAAAAGTCCACCGGGGCTCTGCTGTCAACGGGGTGCTACTGGCAATAGAGAGTACTTTAGCAGTTCGATATTTCTTACATTTAAATATATATCTAACATTAAAAAGGGTTTATTAGTACTCTATGCTTAGACGTCTCCTCAATTTTAACAAAAATGTCGGTTTGTCACGTCTCGATGTGCAATTGAGACAATTTTTCTCAATGCATAGGAACACCTGCAAAGCGTTGAAAACAGTTCACGATTCGAAATAATTACAAGTCGTATTAAATTGGCCAAATATTTGGCCTAGGAGGACAAATTCGTTAAACTTCCCGTGCTCGAATCGGTATCACTAAAGTGTTATGATCATTTCGGCCTATCCCAGCCATCGTCAGACACTTGGGCTGATACAAATTCAAACACGGAAGTTTCCATGTCTTTATAGACTTATTTCTTATTTCGACAATTACGTTTCAACAGTAAAGAGCGGATCTTTACCTTTCGCGAAATAAGTTCCTTTGGATCTTTATTTCGGAGAAATGGTTTAACGGCAAAGTGCTACTTAAGCTCGCTTACCAATTCATAAAATGACTTTTTTTCGTCAATACTATTATTTGCAAGAACCTACTATCCCAAAATAGCTTTCTGTTGTATTATAATCCCTAAGCTACCAAGTGATCAATCTAGCATTAAACAATTTATATTCTGAAAACAATTTATATTCTGGATGATTATAATCAACCCTCATATTTACCTTGGACATTCAAATGTGTTTATATGTTCATTTTGTAAAAGGCTACCAGCCCGCTTAGTTGGTAAATCACAGGGTTTTTAGACCAACCAAGTGGGTTGGTAGCTTTCTGCAATGATTTTTTAAATAAAATTGTGTGAATTTTTTAAAGTTAAAAGTGAAACTGGAACAAACCATGAATTGGAGATATCCAGGAGTGGCTAGTATACCTGTTGAATACAAAGCACGTGGTTTTCGTGTGTATTAAGGTATAAAAAATGCTTATTAAAAGCTTAAAAATTTTATTTTAAAGAAGATCTTTTCGGATTTTGTTTTTTTTTTTTATTGAAAATTAACGTGCTCGCAACAAAGGCCACTTACACGAAAACGGTTACAAATGTAAAACTGTTATAATAATTTACAAAAATATGTTATAAAGTACATACTATTATAATACAATCAAAATTATATTTTATAATATAGCTGAACGTCTTTGAGGAATTTAAGACTTGAAGTTATTTGATCCAAGTTATTGAGTATGTCTTTTAGATCACTTTTAAGGCAATAAAATAGTCTTTTTGCTAAATATTGATGACATTCGGTGAGAATATGGTTAACTGTTAGATGTGATTGACAGGTCTCACAAGTGGGTCAGTTGCTGGATGACATCAGGTATCCATGTGTTAATCTTGTATGTCCTATTCGAAGTCTTCGTGTTACAATAGCGTCTCGTCTGGACATACCGGCAGAGGTCAAATCAAGTGGGCTATTGACTAACTGTTGGATTTGATGTAATGCTGAGTTATTGTTGTCCCAGTGTTATTGCCATCGGGTTCTTGCTCGTTTCTTAATGTGAGACTTTAAATCTTTACTAATTTGTATATTAACCGTATTATTAGATAATGCCGAGGCAAGTTTTCCATGACTGTCAGCAAGTTCTTTGCCTGTAATACCAATATGGGATGGTAGCCAGATTATTGTAACGGTTATTTTTTGGGAAGCGATTAGTTGGTAACAATCAAGGATCTTTTGGACAATAGGATGATCAGTAAATATATTTTGGATATATTGTAATGAGGCTAGTGAGTCTGTGCATATTGCCACTTGATTATTTGGACAAGAAATGGATTTGAAAGCTTGAAATATGCTCAATAGTTCGCCAGAGGCATGATTATAGACCAAGGAGGATATGGAGGTAGGGGTCGTGGGATTGTTTCTGATAGAGATGTTATTAAGTAATTGTGTTAAACTTAGTGGCAAGGGTTTTATTGAAGGTGATTTAGAATAGTAATGCTGGTTGTTCGTTGATGAAGTAAGAAGAGGATAAACTGAATTGGAGGTATTGGATGAAACGGAGGCAGCATAGGAAAGTAATATTTGTTCACGTCTAATCCAAAGTGGGGACTCATTGGCTTCGCAATATAGACTTTCTACGGGACTAGATCGAAAGGCTCCTAAACAAATTCGTAAGGCTGTACGATGTATCGAATTTAAAAGGTTAAGGTGTGTTTTAGAGGCAGACATGTATATGTAACAACCATAATCCAGTTTGGAGCGGATGATAGACCTATATATCCTAAGCAGGGAGTTCTGATCTGCGCCCCAATGGTAGTTTGAAAGAGTTTGAATAATGTTGAGCCTCTTGTTTGCTTCACCTTTTATTTCTAGTATATGTTGTTTCCAGGGAGTCTTGAATCAAACATTACAACGAGAGTTTTGCATTCCCTGACTACTGGAAGATTTGCTCTCTCAATCATAATATTAGGGGATAGGAAGGGTGATAGTCTACTAAATTTTTTTATTTTTGATTTTGTATGTGATAAAGACAGGCCTATGGGGCATGTTTTTTTAACTAGTGTATCTACTACGGATTGAATATGCTTAGAAGTTGGAGAGAGAGAGATCGTCCGTGGCAGTAAATTATCAGGTCATCTGCGTATAGGACATGCATAAGTGAGAGCGCCCACCAAAGTGGCGTGGCAAGTAGCAAGTAGCACGCGTCTAGCATAATGTAACCAATGAAAACGAATGATTCAGTTTACACCAAAATGACAGTAACGTCATTCATTCTAATCATTCGTTACGATTGGTTACATTATGCTAGACGCGTGCTACTTGCTACTTGCCACTGCCACGCCACTTTGGTGGGCGCTCTCACTTATAGGAGGTATTATATCAGAACACAAGTCGCTTATTGCTAGGTTAAACAGAGTTGGGCTTAATATTGAACCTTGTGGTACGCCGTCAGTTTGATGGTGAAGTGATGAAAAAATGCCATTGACAGAGACTCTAAATGTTCGTGAAGTTAAGAAATTTTGTATAAAATTAAAAATGTTACCCTTTATGTTATACTGAGAAAGTTTCTTCAGTATAGATTGCCTGCTAATTGTATCAAATGCACCTTCAATATCAAACACCGCTGCAATGACTTCTTGTCTCCTATTGAAGGCATCGGAAATATGGCTTTGGAGAAGTATAAGATTGTCTTGAGTAGAGCGATTTCGTCGAAACCCTGACTGTTCTTTTGGAATTATATTATATTTGTTAAAAAACCACGTAAGACGTTTGTTGATCATTTTTTCAAAGATTTTGCAGATGGTACGTGTTAGAGATATTGGTCGATAAGCGCTGGGCGAGGAGCGTGATATGTTAGGCTTTTTAATGGGTATTATAATTGAGGTTTGCCACTGTTTAAGAAACTTGTTAGATGACCAGATTACGTTAAGCATTTTAAAAAGTTTAAGCTGACCTAAACTAGATAGTTTTTTTATAAAAATGTAAGGAATATCGTCGGGGCCGGACGATACGGAAAGTGCGAAGAAAATAGTTCATTGAAAATAAACATTGAAGTTCCACCTCTGGCACTGTTGCAGTCAGTTCAAATATAATGATATCCTTCAAAATTCTTTGGTTTAGGAAGTTTTGTAATTTTTGAATTGGTTTCTTGTAAAACATATGATTTCAGGTTGTTCTTCGATAGCTAATTGCTGGATTCTTTCTATGCGAGGAAAGAAACCATCGCAATTCCATTGAATTATTTTGAATGTAATGTTTAAATGAGATATGTGTGGGACTACTGTAAGGATTGTTCAGAGCGTTGAGAAATAGGAGTGTTAATTTCATCGTCAGTTAGGCAATCGGATGATGCACTCAAATTGTCAGAGTCTTCAGGATTAAGCTGTCTTTTAATTTTTTTTGCAATCTTGTTATTCGTTTTTTAAAGGATCTCTCTTTTGTTTGTGAATGAAGAAGAGTCAAATCACTAAGCAATTCTTGGATATTGGAAGTGAAATTAAAAGCTTCTGTAAGTGGGTCCGGTATGCCATAGGTTGTTTCTAGGAAAGCTATAAATTGATTTTCAGTAAGAGTTAGTTCGTATAAGTTATTTTTATAGATAGCGTGGACTGCATTATAAGAAATGGGTGTCAATTTATGTTCTTCTGTTACTATTGTTTTACTTTTTTTTGCGGCTTGCTGACATAATTAATGGTAGATTTAACAGATAAGGGGGAGGTATTTTATTGATAGTTGGGTCTGGAGTAGGAGCTGGAGAAAGTTGAGAAGGGGTGCCAGCATTAATGTCACTGGATAAGCTTGTTTCTGTCTCTGTACTGGAGGGGATGCTACCTGTGTAACTAAGGGGATGCTTTCTGCCACATT